ACCCGGTGGATCGGGATCCCCGTTCCATCCCCCGTCGATGCCCTTTTCGGCCGAAACGGGCATGGCGGTTCGTCCCCTGCGCGGATGAGAAAATCACCGGGCGCAATCGTCCCCGATTTCGCCTCGTGCGGCGAGACCGGCAGCACCGCGGGTTCCTGCGTTGACACAATCGCGACCTGCACGCTGGAATGGGAAGTGCTGCGGTTTAGCCCAGAGCCCGGTGTAGAACTACTGGAGGATCCTGTCGTGGTGTTGGTGGAAGTCAACAAGGTATGATCACAGGTGCTAGTAGACGGATGGTAAGCATATTGATTGTGTAAGGGAAACAACGCGGGGATACCAGAAGAATACGGCGCCGATCGTGACTTATGCAACTTGACCAAAGGGCCCTGCGAGCTAGAAGTCTCTGAAGAATGAAAATTGGTATTCGTATCAATACCCATAGGTAACTCACCCAACTCAACCCTAGAGGTGCCAAAGGATTGAAAAATGTGTTGCGAAGTTTTTAGATATCCTTTTTCCTGTACAGGTTGTTCAATTAACGTTTGCATTAAATTCCTTCGTCACCCTCACCAAATCTCTTAAAGATTCGAGATGGGAAATTTTTAAAAATAAGCAAAAACAATTTTCAAAGAATTTATAGCCTATTTTTTTCCTAGCTACCTTACTTTGAAACTGAATATAAGAAAAAAGGCAAACGGATGCTCTCAATAAGTAAAAAAAAACGTCGCCTCTCTGCGTATTTAAGGACAGAAGTATTTATTGATTTTGATTTTTTTCTTAGCAATAAGTTTTACCCTCCCCACACTAACCCCTTCCCTTTTCTAAGCACTAAATTTAATAAGTGCTAATCATAATAAAAAGGATAAAACCAATAGCCAGGAGTCTGTATAAGTAATTTTTCTAGATGTTTGTTTTATCTGTTCAAGGATAATAGTCCTATTCTAGATATGTATTTTTCTCCAGGTTCCATTTTTTTTTCATCTAAATGCAGGAATGAAGTTCTAGTGGTACATTTTTATTACACTTATATCTGAAGGACTGTCTGAAGTAATCAAATATGAATGGTAACGTTCGCATTTTGCTAAATACTTGTATACAAACCAATTTAGTTAGACGAACTTACCCCTTTGTGAGATATATAATTGCACCATACAATATACAGACAACTAATGTGGAAGAAAAAATTCTAGGAAAAAAGGCTCAGTATTTTCTACTTTTATCGTACTCTATAAGCTTTTCTTATAAGTATAGCTTAGTTTGTCTAATGCAGAATTACTCTGAGGCACAGAAATGGAAATCAAAAATAGCACGCAAAAAGGGGAGGAAAGGTGAAAAGGAAGGATATAAATATATTCCTCTTTATTTTTGTCTCTCTGCAGGCCTTATGAAAACGGGTTTCGGTTTTGAAAGCCGCTCCACAGACAGTCTTTGCTCCTTTGCCGCTTCGCCAGTACGCACTTCCTTAATAATGATATACGGCCGACGGTATTCATCGAGGTGAAGTTCCTCGATCAAGCGATACCCCGCCTTCTCCAAGGCGGGAGCCACGTTTCCCTCCTTTGTCTCGCTGCTCTCGATATCCGTTGTGGCGGAAGGCGGCACAACCCGACGCGCCGCGGGCCGTCCGGGCAGCTCCCCCATGCGCCCGCGCACACTCGGCGCGCGAGCCCAGGGCGACGGCTGCTCGGGGTTTTTTACCTTTATGCTCGAATACACCTCATAGGGCATCCCGTTTGGGACATCCACCACCACCTGGCGGACCTTCTCAGGGGTCGGACGCGCGTTTCCCCCACGAGCGGAGGTGGCGTTCTCGCGCTGGCTCGGGGGAGGCCCCGCGGGGTTTGGGACGCCGCGCGCCAGTCGCACGCCTGTCATGGTTTTGAAGTGAAGGGTGGGAATGTGAGGGCGCAGGGCGCGGTCGTTCACGGACCACCCTCCTCCACTGTTTAGGGAATTGCGCGAGCGCGCAGAAAGACGACCTCGTCGCGTGGGGGTGCTCTTCGCCAAATCTTCGGATGTAATGGGTTTGAATTCTTTCCTCATATCAATCAGTGGGATCTCGCCATGCGGGACGGCCCTGGCAGACGAGATCTTGCCTATACTAGTGTCTGCTTTGCTGACTTCCGCACTCGTAAAACCCTTCAGATGGACAACAGAAGACAACACTTCGTCTACCCATTCCGAACAGAGTATGGCTTTAGTGTGTCCGAAATTACTTTTCCTACGGGTAGTCCGAGATTCAACGTTAGAAAATAAGCTGTGCGGAAGGTTTGCTGTCGCCATGGGTGTCGTTTGGGCTGAAGAAGCTGACGTAGCGCGTTTATTGGGAGCTGAAATTCCTTTTACGCGTAGCTCGACCGCCGTTGGTGCAGTACTCGGTAATGAATTCTTCTTCAGGATTGCTTTACTGCTACCTTGATGACTTTGTTCTGCCAAGTTTCGTCCTGAAAAAGCCATGGAACCTCTTGGTGACACGATCCTGGCCTTCGTTATTTCGATCGGGCTTATAAGGCTATCAATAGCCTCTGTAGTACTACGCTGCCCTAAAAAGGATCCGGCTGCATTTTCATGGACTTTTTGCGAGCGTCCAGACGAGGGCAACGAAGCGAAGAGTCGTTTCTCGTGCGAGGAATCCTGTCGGGTTGTGGTCTCAATATTTTTAGGGTTCTTGGTTATGTTATTATTGCGGTCATAATGGTTGACGTTGTACTCGACGTGAGCCTCTTTATTCTTGGGCTGCGAAGAGGTATCAACATTTGCTGTGCTGTGAACCTTTCCCAGGTGAGACCGAGAGGAACGGGGGCTCATTCTAGAATCTCTATTTCGTGGTTCTTTCCTCCTATCACTGACAGGGTTAGGCAAATGGTGAGATCGATCGTCGGCACTTGTCTTTTTTAAAGACACACCCCTCCCCTCCCCATCCCAAGTTTGTTGGGCTGAGTTAATGGACATGTAGTTATCGCCATCTGTAGAACGTCGATGCTGAGCAAATCTGTTCATGCGCCGATCATCAGGTCTATCCCCCTCATAAGGATGAAAAGATTTCTTTTTGGAACCTTCAGGAAGTGTCGAGAGATGTTTTTTGTATTCCGCACTTTGTAAATGTGCCTTCTCTCCATTGCATACATTTTTGCCAGAATCACTAGCCCTTCCTTCACACCAATTTAAATCAGTCCTTGAGCTGCCGGACTGCGGTTTCGAGGCTCTTCTCAGAAACATATCAAATGCCTTACCTCCGTCCTTGATAAGATCAGGTGCGATACTTTTCTTAGCGACTTGTTTAACATGTTGCGATGATTTTGCAGGGGGCGATCCGCGGCGGTCGTCATCCAAATAGTTGGGTGATATTAACAAACGCGTGCGCCGTGGACTTGCACAATAATGGTTCGACGAATCGCCGTTGCCCTGAGGTGGGTTTTCACCAACGTATAAAAAATCCCCTCTCGGTTCGGCGTCTGGCGAGTAAAACCTCGATGAATCCATGGACCATCGCTGTTGAGGAGACAAATCTGAAAAGCAAACGCGGGATATATTCCCCGCATCCACGCCCATCCGCTTTGAACTGGGATTTTGATGGAGTGGATCCGACTGCGCGGCGCGCACCGCGGCCTGTCCTTGTTCTCGCATAATCTGCCCGATACCCCCATCTTTCAGGACCTCACGCGTCGTACTATCAAGGTGTCGATCAGGATAAATGGAGGGATCGTCCCGCGATAGGGAATGCCGCAAACGATGCTGGGCGTAAGGACTGTAGCCGATGCGCTCGTAGAACCCACCACCGATATTAATATACCCAAGCGGTCGACGCAGCGGTGAAGGCAAAGCAAAGCCATTCGAGACGGTCGACCTCGCACCACAGCGCCAGGGGGCTCGCGCCGAGTCCCCTCTTTCTGGAGTTTCCTGCCGTTTGGAAGGGTTGTCGGGTTCAGACCAACGGAAGTGCGGGGTTTCCCCTCGCTGCCCCCAATTCTCGCCGCCTTCATCCTCGCTTTCGCCATGGCTGCCCCGATGTCGATGGTGGGTGGGGGTGAAACCCCGCGGCTTCGAGATGGGGTGGGGTGGGGTGGGCCCTCTCCGTTGGACACGATCGCGACTTGGACGATCGGCATTTTTTTTATCGTCAAGCGCCTTTAAAATATGATAGAGGTTATACAAATCGCTGCTCTTAAAGTTTGACAGAGATGGTACCCGCTTACGACGTGGAGCCCTTTCCTTGGCATCTTCATCGCTGGGGTAGGTTGTGGAAGAGACAAGCTCGTCAGCGGCTAGATCATCCGATCTCTCACTCAACGTTGCAGTATTTTTTGTTGGTTTTATCTGTTTGGGTGTATGCCCAATAGATTGACTGCTTTCAGTAGCAATAGTACCTTTCTTCCTTTCTTCAGGCGTGTCTTCCGATCTACTCATGTCAGGCAATGAAGAAAAGGAGCGATGGTGGGTGGTGAGCTTTGTCTGTGAATGGCGCCCTGAGGGATTCTTTGTACGAGGCAAAGCAATGTCTTTGTTAGACTTTTTAGAAACAGCCTGAACAGCTACCTTGGGTTTAGGGGCCGATGAAGACCTAGATGCCTTTGAAGAATTCGCCTTTCCAGCTTTTAGGGTACATTCACGAGAATCGGCACTATCAGGTCTGATACGTTCACTTGCCATCGAATTGCTCTGAGAGTTCGAAACTGGGGACGGGCGGTTGGTTGATGAAATTGAAGGAGGATGTTCTGGGCAAAAATTTTTAGGTTCGCCTGGATCTTGAACTGGTAAAACTGGAAGTTCCTTGGGTTCCAGGGGAATCGCTGATTCGGTAACCTGCGTATCATCATTACCCGTGTACGGCATTTCATCCTTACCCTCCACCGTCTCGGCTTTCATGGAAATCTCATCATGCGCCTCGTTCGCACCAATTACATCGCCCGTCTGCGGAAACTCTTTTGCCACCGTCGTAAGAGCGTCTTCTAGTACTGGATTTGGTGGTGCTGCTTCATCAGAATGGGCCGCCCCTGTGCTGTCTCCGCGGGCATGAGCATTATTCTCTTCAATAGCTCCATCTTCATCACTGTCGTCATCGCTATCCACTAAAAGTTCGGCGAAACGACAAGGCTTCTTTTTATAACTTAAACGGGGCGGCTTCGATAGCGTCTCGGCCTTCATCAGGTTGCTCTCAACAGGACCTTGCTTCAGAGTGGTGCTAGTCGGCGCTTGCATCGAGTCCGTAGGTTTACTATCTGCAATAGGATCGGCTTTAACTTCAGCCAGAAGCTGGTCCAGTGACCCTTTCTGTGAAGCTTGGGTCTGAGAAGGTATCCCCGTTGAGTTTTTGACTCCACTTACGTTTGTGGAAGGCAATAATCCCGGATTTACTGACATCGATCCCGGTTCGCCTTGGGTCCGATTAGGAATATTTGGGTTGCTCGGTTGAGTACCGCCAGACTGTCCAAGAGGCGCAATGTTCTGCATAGAATTCCCCTCTGGAGACATATTTTTGCTCCCTGAGATTGGCATGACGGGCTTATCAGTAGCGCCCAAGGCGGTATAGACTATATTTTTTGCCGATAACGGGGGTTTAGGACTAGGGGTGTGGATAGAAGTCTCAGAAGGGACCCTACTTGATGAAATCAAATGAGCCACTTTATTGCTACCATCACTTAGCGAAGACCTTGAAGTTTGTGGGTGTAAAATGCCTAAATTTTGTGAGGGTGGCCGCATCTGATTATTACCTTCGTTGCTGTTTATATTTCGAGGATCTGGGCCTATCGTGGAGTTGGAGCCTTTACCAGACGACATTGCCACCCCTAAAGGGTTTTGTTGTGGTAACGACGAAGACGGCTGCAAAACTCCAGGAGGACTTTTTACGCGTCCATCACTTATGACGGGAGGCCGCATCATGACTTTTTGGTTTCCCATACTTTTGTTAGGTGGAATGGAAGGCGGAAAAGCCAACTGCTGTAAAATAGCGTTTCCTCCCTTAACATTCGCTATGGGTGGTGGAAAAGGTAGTTTGTTCGGCGCTATCATTTTCTTCCCAACTAGAAAGGGTCCATTTGGCTGTCGCAGCTTCGGATCCATAGGGCCATTCCCGTCGTAACTGGTGGGTGGAACACCCTTCACAGAGAACATTACAGGGGCACTACCGTTGCCTCCATGAGCTATAGCAAATCCTGATGGAAGTTGTTGAGGTATGATTTTCGACCCTATTGGTGGAGCTACTCTATCAGCACTCATCCCAGTGTCTATCACTTGTGGATATGTGAGCCCTGGTGGAGGATTGCCATTTGCATTTGTCTTACCTGCTGGTACTTGTTTGATATTGCTGGTGGGGTTCAAGTGACCACTTTGCCCTGAACCAACAACATCTGCATACATAACTACTTCCCTCACGATAACGACACGCGAGAATACAGGAACACTAGAATTCAGAAACTATTAAAACTTCTTTTTGAGCCTCTGTATTCAATAATCTTTTGGTAAACCTACTATCGCCCTTGCTATTTTTTTTAGCTGCTCATTATACAGGATAATGTATATATATATTTGAAAACAGTTGACAAAGACCTAAATTTGAGGAATCACAATGTACTGAAGTAATTTTTTCAATCTTCATTTATTTTGCTTTCTAAACATAATTTTTTGAATAAACCTCCACTCATTCACACCTCGAAATATCATTTTAGATGTCGTTCTGAGGGGCATGAAACCATTAATTGGAAATATCGGAACGCATGGAAATGTTAATGACCAATGAACGGAAATAAATTATTAAAAAACGCAAAAAAAAACACTGTAAAGTGTGCTTTCCACTTCATGGACAATGCTCTTCAAGTCGAAACAAAGTTTTTTAGCACAGACCTCTGATAATAAAGAGCGACAATATATATATGTATATATATAGTTTATTGAAATTTATTGTGATGTATGCGCCTACTGCAGTTTCGGAGAGTTAAAATAACAGGTTCGCTTTATTGTTGTCTCCGTTTTACAGGGTATCCGGCTTTCGCGAGCTTTTCCAAATAAATTTCACGCAAATCCACACTATTCTGAACGGCCGTAGTTGTAAAAGGGTTATTAAAGTTAGAAGATGGAATTGGATTTTCGCTCTTTTGGTCGCCCTTTTCATCAGCAAAATGTACGTGGCGCACCGATCTTACACCATTTGCAGTCTCGCTACCTGCGTTAGGGTTAGGTTCACCCCCTGTCTTCTTGAAATTTTGGATGGCAATGTCTTCAACAGTGTTACCACCCTGTAAGCCTTCCGTGGATTGGGGTTCAAATTCAGTGTTGACATCTCGCTTGAGCGGTAGTTTACTATCGGCATCAAAGAACGGCTTGTTGTTAATTTCTCCCATATTACCATAGTTTACGCCCGAACTTTGCGTAGCTGATCCTGGTGAAAAAGCAACATTCTTGAGGTACGTCTGAGACTTGCCGATGGTAGAGTACGCTAAGGTGTCACTGTTGCCCTGCACGAGTATCGGTGGACGGTAATATTCCCCAGGTCCTGGTGTGGCGGCAGCCTCGCGGTTCTCTGTGGAATCCATACGGGGTGCTTTAGGGAATGATATGGAAAGTCCTGGATTGAGGAGTTGACTTTCCACATGAAGTGAATGGTAAGAACCCGGTCCTGGCGAAGATTCAACACCCCCATCGGCTTCCTTTTCCTTCATTTTACCATCATTCGACAGAGATCGATCAGAGTGGTAAAAGGAGTAAGAAGGACTAGCGGATAGCGTATGCACGTTGTACATGCCGGGACCCACACCATTGTCATTAGGGTTAGAAGCGTGGGAGCCCGAAACAGCGCCCGTAGCCGTGGTTCTAGCGCTGACCCCAAATCGCACCTCTGGGCCTGATGGTGGGGACGGCAACACGTAGTGCCCTGGTCCGGGAATATCTGCCATGCCACCAGCGTGAGTATTTTGGAAATCACTACAGCCTGCAATGGAGAAGGCTGGCCCCCTCCCGTGCAGGTGAGCCAGAGCACTTCCTTCATCATAGCTTCCGGGTCCGGGAGAGCCACTGCGCAGCTCCAACCCCCGGGCCGCCGCTCTACCTGTGATGCTAAATGCAGAAGCATCCTTACCAATGATCTTTTGCTTCACATCGTAAAAGCCCGGGCCAGGAGTCTCAACTATGCTGCTCTCATACCGTCCATATAAAGCAGTTGAACGGCTTCTCGGATCCCCTATAGCACGATAATTTAGTACATCATAGTGTCCGGGGCCCGGAAGCGAAGTCTTTTTTTCTGTGAGGTTAGTATCCCAAGAACCAGGAGCAGCATCCTCGCCGCGACGTGGAATCATACTGAATGCGGGCTCGCGCTTTGATATTGCTTTTGACGCCTCTTCAACATCGTAAGACCCAGGCCCAGGAAAATTCGGGCCTGAAACTGCCCCTGAATGACCACCAATCTCAATGCCTGGTCCATGATTTTTCACTTCTTGGAAACGCGTGGCTTTGCTGAAGGAGCAGGCCGGCGCCTGATCCTTCAGAGGTATATCATACCAGCCAGGACCATCTTGTACTTCGTTTTTAGTGTTTCCTTTCTGGAGTTCACGTGGAAAGCGTTCAGACAAGGGAAAGGAAGGGCCCGCCTCTTCTATGGAGATTGTTCCCTTCCTCTCTTCAGAAGCATCGTAATATCCGGGACCTGGTGTAGAATCAGTTCCTTTTGTCTCCTTTTCGGATCCTAATCGAGCGGCAGTATACCTCATTGCGACGCCACCCTTCGTGGCAGATTCAAGGGGAAAGTAATCCTGCAGAATGTAGTGCCCAGGTCCAGGTGGTGGTTCACTAGTTAACACTGAACCAGGTGGTTGGTGAATTTCAGTGGTAATTTCACGTTCAGCTTTCGAAAAGGCGGACGATGGCCCTGTACCAATTCCTCCAATCGATGACTCCTTTGGCGAATAAGCTCCAGGGCCAGGCGTCTGATACATAGAAGTGCCGCCAACCTCCTCGTTTTCACCTTTTTTATGAACATTCGCTTCCGCGTTGAACCGCAGAGCTTTGCCAAGCGTGGGGGCAGAGCTGGCTTGGATGCTAGCAGCAACATCATAGGCTCCTGGGCCTGGAATTGACACCTGTTCTCTGTGATCCACCCAGAGCTTTCGCGCATCATTGGAACCTATCGTTATGGCGGGTCCTCGAGACTGCGTGGGTACGTCATAACTTCCCGGCCCCGGAGACCCGGACAATCGGTCCATTGTTACTCCGCCTTTGTGAGTATCGTTCTGAAAAGCATTGTCTGCCGATGGCAACCCCAATGTGATCCCGCGGTGGGTTGGCGCCGTACCAAAGCGATGCTGCGGACCACATGGAAATGCGGGTGGAATGGAATACGAACCAGGTCCCAAAGACTGCCCCAAGCTTCCATCCCTCTTTCTACCATCTCCATGCGTGGGATCTAAAGAGTCCCCATCCATCTCGGGTGAAGAATGAAACCGATTAGCAGTGCCAAACGTATACACTGGCAAGGATTGGTGTGTCAAGTAAATGTTATCGGTTGTTTGATAGTCACCCGGTCCGGGTTCCACTTCCGTCGAAACCATTGAACTCTTATAAATACCTTTTTCTCCTCCCGTTACAAGCTCAGATGTGCAGACTGCGTCTTGGACCCTAGAGGCTGAGGAAAAGCTATAAACTGGCGCAGTGCGCATTGTGAGGCGAAGTGCGTCAGAACTCACATCGTAAGAGCCCGGTCCTACAGCCTCATTGTGAGCTAAGCTACCATTAGAGTGTGTACCCCTTTCGCCATCCTCAGGGAGGCGTATGGAAGTAGAAAAACTATGAACCGGTTGCCCAGAATGCTGCATACCTGCACCGATGTCATACTCGCCAGGCCCTGGGATATCATCTGGGCCATTGAATACACTTCTTCCAATGGAGCTTTTATCGTGAGCGCTAACAGCACCGAACCCGAAAGCCGGTGTGCGTGTCTCTACTTGTGCATAGCTGGGTTGATAATAACATGGCCCAGGGCCTTTTAAAGGCTCCCTGCCCATCAGAATCCTTCCATCCTCAGTATAAATATTACAATCCTCCGCAAAGCGCTTTTGAGACCCTATCAAGCCACCAGGTCTATCGCTACCAAAGGCAGAATTCCCAGTCGGAGAGTACGCACCGGGCCCTGGTCCACTGTTAGTGTAATTCCCGTCTGAAGCTCCCTCTAATGCATTACGCGAACTGGGTGCAGTGCCAAAAGTGACAGGACCACGAATATGCCGAAGCGTATCAGCCTCGGATGGATAATACAAGATGTGATCTCCATCACGTGTCATACATACCTCATAGGATCCTGGGCCTGGTGTGGTGGCTTGGGGTACTTCTCCGTTTTTGTACGCTTGTTCGTTAGTTTCGCGTGGTGCAGTACCTATCACAGCACTCCGTTGGTGTGTGTTGACGTCGACAAAAATAGGACTATATGTCCCTGGACCTACTTTGCTATCGGTGCCGCTGGTGTTGACGTAATGTTCCTGGTTAACTAAGTCGCGCGATGTTTGTGAAAAGGTTGTCCGCGGATATGTTGGAATAGTGGGAAAAACGCTTGGATCGTACGTTCCTGGCCCAGCGCATCCACTATCCCCACCGTTGCCTATTTCATCTCGTTGAGTTGCAGTGCCAAATACGACTCCACGATTCGAAGCACCAGCGTCCTTCAAGTCCGAAAACTTGCCATACATCACATCATAAGTTCCTGCTCCTGGAATAGAGCCTTTATATTTTTCATCCAATAAGTCTTGGTTGAATCTTTGAGCTCTACTCAATGAAGGACCAATAAAAGTAGTTGCTTGTGATGAAGGCAGTGGCACGTGATACGCATCGGGGCCTGGAAAATTAAAATAATCTGCTCTAGAACCATCACACTTTGTTGCTGATAAAAACCGTTCCGAGTTGGAAAAAGGGCAAACCGGACCCACTAGTGATAGCTCCGGTAGTTCGTACGAACCAGGCCCAGGAAGGCACTCCCCGCGATGACTGGTGTGGTCGGTATCCAAAGTAAAGACCCCCTGACGTGCGGTACTGCCAATAACAGCGCTTGGACGATTTGCCATTGTCACAACCGAGTCAAGTTCGTAGGTACCCGGTCCTGGCAAGTTCATTGACCTTTCGGCAACCTGGCCAAAAATATTGGGTCTTGGCGTCTTAGCGATGAAGCCACCAGTGTGTTTAACGGTGGTATTCAGAGCATAATTGCCAGGCCCCGGGACGCCGGTCCCAAAGCGTCCCTCACTGCGCTGGTCTGGGTCAGCGTCGCCAGACGCGTTGCAGGGAGGGGGGGTTGGTCTAACGAAACGCGGGGCGGCGCCAAAGCTGTATTGCTTAGAAGACCGCTGCTGGATTGTGTAAAGTGGTACATACTCGCCGGGCCCAGGGGTTACTGGATCACAGGCGCTATAGGGAAACTTAGTTCCCCTGGTAATCACATGTACAAGACTGCTGTCGCCGGAGGGAGTTTTAGGGTTGTTCAGTAATCTCTGATGAGCATCGTTGAAGCGTTGTGACCGAATGGTCCACTGTGGTGAGTTTCTGTACTGTGATGACATAAAGTACCCACCAATTGTGTCGTAGTGATTTGGACCTGGGAAAGGCAAAGAGGCGCAAGTCCATCGCGATGAACACAAGTCTTGCTCTGCTATGGAAGACGTCATAATATCCCACGGTAATGGTGATGTTCCCCTTGAAAGTCCAGAGAAACTGTAGCTCGGGGTCTTAGGGCGCACCCATCGGTCTGCTCCATCAAGTGCATAACTTCCTGGACCCGGAGCTTCGCCTTCTCTATTGGTCCTGACCATACTGCCCACTAGCGCACTGTTGACATGCGATGGAGACGTACCTCTAGAAGTTTTGGTTCCCAATATAGCACTCCGCCCTGATGCACCGATTTCATTACCCGTTCGTACGTCATAATCTGCTGGACCGGGTACGCCGCCTTTTTTCGGGCCTTGAGGAGCGGTTAGTGTGGTATTTGGGGTGGTGGCAAATCCCTGAGTCCTGCGTCCTGATGCCGGCGCCTCCGATGGAGATGGTGAAGCGAAGTGGGAAAGCTTCCCAAAAGAGTACGCAGGAGAAGTGGTATGACGAGCCTCATTGCGTTCCGCCCTCTCAGGCGAGTACTGGCCTGGGCCGGGTGTTACGTCCCTGCCGCTAGTGCCTACTTGCGGTATGCATGTGTGAGACTTGTAGCGTATAGACTGTGAGCTTTTTGGAATGAAAGGTGAAGCTGACCTTTGCTTCGCTTCTAGTGTTGCCTTCCCTTCTTCACAGTTGCTAAACTCGTGCACAAGAGGTATTACAGACGATGAAAGAATATCATATGTGCCTGGCCCGGGAGTTTCAGTCTTTGTCCTTACCGTTTCTAGAGTTCGTCGTGGGGCTTTCCCAAAGCTGCCCTGTCTCGGCTTGAGATTTGCAGAGCTGCGCGCGTAGGCCGACAGAATATCGTAAGCGCCAGGTCCTGGTGATTTCAAGCGCCGATGTTGAGGGGTACGAGAACTATGGCTGCGCAAATGATTCTGTTCCACTGAATCCATGGCCGTCTCTTTTTTTTTCCCGGTAAGTGTGTCAACAGTCCAAGTACGGGAAGACTCATGAAAGGGTTTGGATAAATTCGGTGAGTTTTGGTGAGTATTTGTGGTGTTTTCCTTACCCTGTGCAACGGTTGCCGACGATTCATTGTCAACCACAGTTAAATACATTGGAGGATTAGTTTTACCGGTCTCTAGGGCTGAAAAGGGAGGAGTCATTGTGATTTCGTTGGTACTTCGAGATCTTCTAGGAGATTGATCTTCTTTTTGCAAAGCCCTACTGGAAACTCGAGAACTCCGACATGATGAATGCAGAGGTGTAGACGAAAATGAATGACGCGCGCTGTTATTGCTACCGCAACTCATACTTCTTTCTCTTATAATTTCATCAAATAGGGTAGAACGCTTTGCTGCTCCGAAAATCACAGAACGAGAAATGCTACCCGCAGCACTTGCCGTGATCTGCTTCCGCATTTGAATCTCCTTAGTTTTTGTGCCGACCTCCCTCTCTGTTCGGCATCCACCTGTGGAAGCGATAATGGCTTTGTGTTTATCCCCTTCCGTGCAGCACTCATGAGGTTTCTTCTCATGACTTCTTCCCAAATCGCTCTTCTCATTTAACGACGACGACAGAGAGCGTGTCAGGCCCGCCGTGAGACTGTTTTCGTAGGCTTCTTCCGAAGACATGACTGCAGACTCATACTCGGATTGCTTGTCATAACATGGACACTTCGGTGCGTGTGAAGCTGGATTGATAGGCATCCCCAACTCGGGGAAATGGCTCCAGTAGCATGAACACAGGGTTATGAATCGAGAACGCAGGGCCGCTTTTTTCAGACTGTCCTCTTTGGGTCTCCCCTCTGCGTTCTTGGGGCACCGTTGGTGCTCAAATGGTAAAGATGCGTTGGGTCGCCTAACCCCAGGATCGCATTTAATGTCAATAAAAGACAGAGAAGCGACCGACGCAAAGTCCTGGGGAGACTCAGGACGCCGGTCGTTTATCCCACGTGAAGGTAAAATCACAGAAGCACCGGCTTCTGATTGGAGAAAAGGAGAGGTGCAGATGTGTTCACGAGAAAGACAGTTGTTTGTGTTCACTGAAGTATTTTTAACTTTTCCCCCGAGGAAATCCATCTCGTGTAGGCTCTGAACCAGATCGCTCAACACACTATTGGGGATACCTACAGGGTGCGTTTGTTTCGCCTCATTATCATTCAACGAGCTCAACAACTCATTGTTTTCTTCTCTGGCTGTTATAGTCTCATTTTCGGGCGAGGCCAGAAGTGCGCGTCTTACACTACTTTTAGTGGGGAAACTTTGAGGTTGATCTGCACACTGCACATCATTTTTTTTAGTCATTCTATGCGAAAATTTATGCTGGTAGCAATCACCGCGACAACATCCTTCATTCTTCGTATGGATTTTGTTGCCATCCTGATAAAAATTACCTTTAGACGCATGTCCTTTGAAGGTAGGTATGTGTTTAGAACAAGACAATTTAGAGTCGATATCTACTACATCGGCTTCCTTCTCATTTGACGTGAAAAGATAATCATTTTTATTGTACACCAAATCGGGCTTCGAAGCAACTTGGCGTTCAGTAGATTGCTTCTGGACATTTGCTTGAGTAATTCCTTTTGATGACGTTGCTGTTCCACTCTCTTTTCCTGCAGAGCCGTTCACAGTACGATGATCAGGCCATACTATCTCAAATGGACTGAGCGGGTGCCTTTCAGGAAGATGGGCATGCTTTTTCGTCCTCTGCACTTGAGGCTCTGGTAAAAAATGCTTGATGGAACTTACTACTTTACAATTTTTTTTCGATTCAAAATCATCAAAAGCTGATGATCTGGTACAGTTTTTATATTTCTTTTGAGCTGCACACGTTGAGAGAGACAAAATGCTAACAGGATCGTTCAACGGAAAGGAGAGCTGTAATGACGATGGCAGTGGTTCGTCATGATCTATCGTTTGAAACGACATCAGAGTCTATGGTAATCTATGTTGCAATTTGCCTCCTTTGAATATGCTTTTTGAGCCCTTTTTATAGCTCTTCAAGAAATAAAAATAAAATCACAATTGAAGATACGTGATATCTATATATTGCCATTATCAGTATTCATTTTTTGATGATCCCGTGAAATAATTAGTGGATAATATCCCAATGGGGTGATCAAACAAAATAATATATGAAATAAATATATAACTTATTCCGCAGACTTGGTAAACTCCCTATTGGAGAGAGTAAAAAATAATAAAACTATTCAGTCCATTTTTTAGAATCCTATTAAAAGGTAAGAGCGTGTGTTTGGAAACTTTTTAAACACATTTATTCTATATCTTAACAGTATCATTTGAAAATAAAACCAGGACTTCCGAAAATTGCATTTATAAAAACATTTTAATGTATTCGGTTTTTTTGTCCGATCTACAATTCTTCCTGCTAACATATGTAGAGGTCTCTTACTGGACGTACTCTATAGCGCTACATCAAGACCGATGTTATTAAGGTAAAGCCTTTACTTTTCTCTCGCTGACAAACCCTGCAGTCTCTGTTCAGAACATGTAAGAAATTCCTAAATAAGAAATAGAAAAGAAGGATAGTTTGTCCGCCTTTTTCCTCTTTTACATGTCCTTAGACCACGCTGTTTGTTTTCTTGCGTTAATATTAAGTAAGCTATCAAAGTTTTCTTCGAAGTGGATTACTGAAAGTGCGCTGCACGCGGCGGAAATTAAAAGTTCAAAAATAACCTTTTTACTTCGCAGGACTGTATTCGTATTAGATTGCATCTCGCGAGCTGGGGTGTATTTCATACCGAACCAAGTTAAAGTTCCGTCAACTACAAATGCAAGCAGTGAAGGTGAATCATAAAGAAAGAAGGAAAATTTCAAAAGTGCCAGTATACTCAAAACCCCAGCAAACCTGTATTTTATTTGATAACAATAAGAATGCCATCGCGTTTAGGTATATAAAAGCCATTGAAATGGTATGTATCTGAGTTGAGTAAAGTGACGATGACATACGATCTTCGATGCCTCCCAGAGCTAAGGAGCATTTAGAAAAATACATAAATAAACATAAACTTTAATGAAACACAGATGATTCATTGGTATGTCATTACACTAGGGTTATTCATGCAGTGAAGACATTTCTTCATAAATGCATAAAAACTAGCTACCTGCAATGGGTCCGCTAAGTAATTTTTTTTCCGTGATGATAACTGTTTTTTAAGATAGGGTTGTAGCTTTTTGAATGTAATGTAAGAAGCTACTATGCACTGTATGGCTGTTGATTTATTTTTCATGATAGTACACAAAGTGCTTGCGTTAAATGGCATTGCATTGTTCATTTAATCCTCATTATGAATTGTCAAGATAGACAAAATATGGAAAAGGATAAACTTCAGTGCGCCTTAAAAACCGCCGAGGGGAATTTTTTCTGTAACCTTAGGTTCTCTTCGCTACAGAAATCTTCATTGAGTAGCTAAATGTTTTAGTATCCTACTAAAAAGAAGGACTAAAAACAACTAATCTAAAGTAATCTGTAAACTTTTATTTAAAGGTATTTTTGAATCAATCGTAATACCCTAAATTAATAGATGAGACGAAGGACAAATTCATATATATGGATTATGGAACTTATGATTTTAGAGTTTAATACAAGATCATATATTTAAATGAATGTTTATTTTTTAAGAAAAGGCCGCAACTAAAAGCATAATGCAGAGGGCCTTCAATAAAAAAAAACGAAAGTAGGTTGTGTAAAATTTCGGAAGCTCACCTTCTGGTTCTTTCAGAACTATAACTCAATACCACCTTAATTTTTACAAACATTAGTTTATATTATCACTTTTTATGTATCAGAGTGATTATGACAAGAAAGGTGTTACTACGTTGATGAAAAAATGCAAATATGAAAAATAATGCCTGTATCACTTATATAAAAAAAAGCTACATAAAGAATTTTTTCAGGTGATATTCACGACAATCGTCATTATGTATGAATTTTTAAAGAAATATATGTTGAAATTTACTTTTTTCTATCACCATAAGATGAAATGAAAAAGTGTAAACGATTCATAAAGACTACTCTCCATTTTAGCCACTCTAACTTTATTCTAATAGTTTACACCGATCTCTATCTTCTTCGTTTGAGCTTGTTGAATCTGAGTTAAACCCAGTAACATTTCCTGGGGGAGTCTGAAATAACTGAGATTTGTATATGAGCAAATATTCCTGCGAGTTGTCTATTGGATCCTGACGCATTGCCACCGTATTCGCCGCATCCTGGTCCTGGGTCTCGCTTTCCTTCCTAAAGCCACTACCACTACAGCCAGCCGCACCTGATGGTTTGAAATCCGACTTCGCATTCCTTTTTTCAGACCCGCCAACCACACTGATGGTGGTGAAATCCGAATCGGCCATCAAACTCGGCGGTGGAGGAGACATCACGGGTTCATCCTTCCCGATTCCAAGATCCCTCCCTCGGTGGGCCCTTCGAGTGATTCGCTTTCGCAGTCGCCACGCACGCCGCCCGCGTCGATGAGTGCGCAGGTAAAGGCGAAGCGCAGACAGGGCCGGGGTGAAGGGCCGTCTTGGGGGCCCCGTCGGGGGGCCCCCTATGGCCTCCCGGCTTTTCGGCATCCGCTCTCGACTCGTTCTCGTATGGGGTTCCTCCCCTTTTCCTGCATTTTCTTCGGCCCCACGGCTTTGGTGAGGAGGGGGGGCATAAAGGGCCGCCGGGATGGGTCGGCGGAAGCCCCGGACCCCCCCGCCGCCGCGTCGCTGGAGCTGCTTGAAGAGTAAAAGCCCGCAAGCGGCGTCGGCCTCGGCTATCGGCGGGGCGCATGCCGAACAGGACGAGCGCCATGGCGGGGGGTCGATCGCGCTTAAAAGAGTTGATTGCGCTAACAGGTAAGTGAACAAGTCCACGCTTCCCTTTTCACTCGAATCGCTCCCGCTACGGCGAGTCGTAGAACCGCCCCTACACTCGCCAGTTTCACTTTTATTCCCATTCGGGGACGATTTTTCGTCGCAGTGCGGATAATTCTGAGCTCGGGCGCCGTCAGGAACCCCCAAAGTTGCGAATTCGCCGCTGTAATACTCATGTCGCAAAGCTGCACGCAAACACTCTAAGTAGGATTCGTTAGAAAGTTCATTCGTCGCGCAGCCTTTAATTTTCGATTTTTTTCCATGAAAAAGTACCCTAGAGAGATCCCCTCTTGAAGTATGGGTATGCGCCTCAGAGGATTGGATAGATTTGGAGCCTGTACAACCGGCATGCGTTGGCGAGCGAATACGCGTTAGGGTATCGGAATCAAAGTCACGCAAGACCGATGGGGACACTTGAGCGGCAACGCCGCAATCATCCAGAATAGAAGGCTGCCCAAGCGATTCGTAAACCACCGAAGTATCATCCGTCTGCTCTTTGCTTCTTGTTGGTGTATAAATGATAACAGTCGAGCGACTACAAGCAGTTGTTGGGGCGCATTTCGCCTTATGGTTCAGAATTCTATCATTATCTCTGGGAATATTGGAAAATTCGCTGCGTGTTGAGTTGTTCGGCGATGGCTGGTGTGCCTTGAGCGCCGCATTGGGGGAATCCCCTTGGGACATAAATTTGGGAAAATCTCCTGCGATCCGTTTTACAGGAAAGTCTTTGTGTAAGGAATATTGACCTACTCGCAGAGTGTTCGGATACCGCTTCGCATAACTGCTATTATAGGTGTCTTTAAAACTACGTTGCGTAAAAATCGTAGAGTCCGTGTGGGTGCGATGACCATGGACCCATTTAGCATCTTTGTGGTCGTCTTGGCCCTTTACCTCACTCCCATCCCCTCTACACACCGAAAGCGGTTCCGCGGAGGCTGGTAATTTTTCCTCATTAACGTTTGACCTCAATTTGGCATCGGTACGCTCTTGTGATGAATTAGCAGAGAAGACTGAGGACTTGTCTTCCATGAGTGCCGCTGTCACGGCGTTGTTGTTGGACATTATGTTGGCCCTGCTCACATAAAGTGCATGCAATTTCTGGTCAAGTGCATAAACCTTTTCACGCAACTTTGTTTCTTTGGGGCATAAATACCGACTACGCGAATGCCATTTTTCATTCATTCTGTTGATCTTCGCTAGATCCTTTATCCATTTGTCGTGTTCCCCTGTATGACAAATGGTTCCACCATTTATCAATACCTTCTGAGGAGTGTGGTTGTGGCTGCTATAATTAAAAGCTCTGTGATTGGCATCCATTCTGCGGCGCGAATTCCTGAAAGGATCAAAGTTGCTCTTGACAGAATGAACACGAGAATTTTGAATAATCTGCTTACGAAGTTTTGCATATTTTTCTTTGTGGTGATAGTCCTGAGGAGAATCCCCAGTTGTAGTCCGCACAGACGACGACAAGATCATTGATCTAGTGGAAACACGGTGAAAGGAAATACTGTCCTTCTCACCACTCCCAGTGGAAGCGACCCGGCTTCCATCGTCTCCTGAATCTTGCTGGATTTTTTCTCTCTGTGTATGGGGGCGATACTCATGATGTGTGTCGAGAAAACGTAAGCGTGTTGAGTGGTTTGAGGATCTTAACTTCGGGAATGACTTTTCCCTTCCATTACACTGGCCCCCTTTGATTGGAATAGCCATTAACTCGGGTGGAGATCGGTCGGTCCTTTTACTCACAGATTCAGTAATATGCATGCTATTATTGAATGTGTCATCAAACGGAATCTCTTTTCGGGGTGTCGATGACTTTACCAAGTCAATGGATGGTAAAGATTCTGATAAATGAAACTTCACAGTTTTTTCAATGCTTCCGTCCGGATTATCCAGGGGCAAGGAAGATGAAGTTCGGTCACTTGCATCACAATTTTCTCGGTGAACAGACGATTTGCTTGTTAACTTTGAGTGTGCCATGAAAGAGCTTTTCATTCCATCAGATACCACATCTATTTCCTTTCCATTGTCAACATCTTGTAAAAGAGTAACCTGGGATGCTGAATTCAACCGTGTAAAGTCTGGCAACACACCGAAATCAGGTTCTGGTGATACTCCTTTTTCATTATTGGCGTCATTCTTCTCAGATTCAGCGCATTTTGACTTTCTATCTGGAGAGGCTGTGGCATCTTTATCAACTATTGGGAGTGTTATCCGCGAAGCTTCGGCCGATGCAAAGTGCTTTAACTGGTGCTGATGATTCCCTACGTGCTCTTGGGGGGGGTGTATATCTAGAGCACTATTAGATTCATTACACGCATCGAAATTCTCAATACCAGAATACATCTTGAGCGATAGTGAGCAAGAGTCACCTGGAGTCCTTTTTTCTATGTCCTTAAAGCTATGTGGCTCTCCGGCCTTCATAAAAATAACTTCCTCAGAAATCTTCGGAATACAATCGCTCTTTCCCTCATTAGTCTTTGCAAAAACTTCTATTGACCTAAGCTCCGCAGGTTGTTCCTTAGTATCCCCATTTTTGCCGCTCTTTCTTTGTTTACTGCACGCAGAATCCTTACCCTTTGTTTCGGTGAAACCAGAAAGGGTACTTTTAATACCCTCCACGCTATGGGGATGGTGAAGTCTATTGGAAACCGCAACCCCCGAACTACTGCAGCAGAACCATCCAGATAACATGTTTTTGAAGATCTTCGAAGTGCTAGACGAACTAGTATGATGACTCAGTCCGGACGTATCCATCCCACCACTCGTCGCTTCAGGAGTGCCTTCCGCAGTAGAGCTACCAACACCCGCACCCAATGCCATCTCACCCTCCTTTATCTTCTTTTGGGATATTTCCTTTTGGAGAAGTACGATATCATGGGTAAATTTCTGAAACGCGCGCGACTCCGGCTGCAGGTATTCAAGTTCCCCCATCCCCGTCACGTTTTCTAGAAAATAGATCGCCTCCTGATCGTCTCTTGGCTTGTTGGGAGGGAATCCGACCGTCGGCGGTCCGTTGTTCATCCCCGCGTGCAATCGCGCATCGCGCGGGGGGCACCTCACCCCCGGTGCGCCGTCAGAGCCCGCATCGTGCCCAACCTTCGGGTCGCCCCCCCTTCGAAGACGCCCTGGCGATGCCGAATCATCCAAATGGGCCTTAGCCATACAAACCCAAGAACCCGAGCGGGATCGCGATGGGCTCCGGCTCCCGCGTTCGCTCCGATTGATCGAGAGAGCCAAGGGGAAGACATCCCCCGCACGTTCCTTCTCGGTATCGGCCTGAGGTCCCGCCGTGCCCTCTTTTCCGGCCCCTGGGGGAGGCCGGGC